GGGGCCCCCGTCACTCCAGCCCCGCGTTGCCGCCCTCCGAGGAGACGGAGCCTTCGGGATAGGCTGAGGCTGCCCCGGCTCTGATTGGCTGGCGGGGGACAAAGACGGAGGGAACCGCTGTCAATCACCCGCGCTGGCCCCGCCCCCTCCCCTGGGGACCAGATGCTGCCTGGTCCCCATGGGGCTGGGCTCACCCGGCCCACGTGAGGGAAGAGCCCCCTCCCTGGGTGCCAAGGCTGAAGTCAGGACGCGCCGTACGTGCAGCGCCCGGCGCGGTCGCTTGGCCAACCCAGCGGTGTGCATCCAGCCTGCTGCTCCCAGAGGCGCTTGAGGCAGATCCCCGAGCCAGGCTGGAACGGCCTCTCCTCACGCTACATTGAAAACCGGCGACGCGCCCACCCACGACGTGCCTGCCACGTGGAACCCGCGTGCCCGCTCGAGAGCACGTGGCCCGGGACCCCACCATCCGGCTGCAGCTCACCTTGGCGTCCCCCTCGGTCGAACCCTCCCGTCCAGCGAACACGTCATAGAGACACGAGCCAAGATGGGCACTCGTAACGGCAGTCGGTGTATGCTCGCCGACTGGAAGTGGGGAGCGAGCTCAGCCGTCCAAACCGCTGCCCGGCTCCGAGCGCGTGTCGTGCACGGGAGAGACCCGTACGCGCTAGACCCCATCCTGAAGGACATCCCAGGAGGCCTGAAGCCTACCCGCCTAAGCAGCGTGCCGCTGCAGGCCTCGCTCCGCCAGCCAGCAGGAGAGCAGTGGCCAGCAGGATACAACCAGCAGGACAAACCGACGGTGTGAGACACCCGCTGTACGACCGCCCCGCAGTGCACAGCCGTCTGAGGTCACGCGGAGCTTCCTCACCGGCACCCAACCCCTCGCTGCCACGCTCAAGGGGAGACGACTACAGGTGTGGAACGAGAGGCTGAAGAAAATACTTGTCGGCAAAGAAATGGACTTTGCAGCAGCTGAGTCCTTGCCACCAAGGGCTGACGGACCACGGCAATGGTGGTGATGTCTCAGTACTGGAGTCAGACGCTCCAAGGAACTAATGAAGAAGCGGGGCTGTGCCACTGGTTCAGCCACCTGTGACTGCAGCACAGAGCCTCAGACTATGCAGCACCTGCTGCGATGCCGCTGCTCGAAGGCACCCGTACAATGAAAGACCTCGCAAGGTACAACAAACGAGCACAAGCAGGTGTGACAAGATGGTGAAATGTGGTGTAGAGACGTGAGAAGAAGAAGATGGCAATGCTGCCTCTGCACTAGCCCAGGGTAAGCTTTTGGTACCTGGTACACGGTGTTTTTGTAGAGCAAGCTCCAGCTGAGATTGAACCTGCGTGCAAATCTACATGCAAGTGCCATCTCGCTCGCCCCCTGGTATGAGCCAGCTGAGAACTTGGAGCTTGACAGGAGAGGGTGTAGAGCAGTGGTTCTCAACACTTTTGGATGCTGAGCTCCCCTTGTTAGACTCAAGGACCCCTGATTAGATTCAAGACAACCCACAACAAATGCCAGCTCTTCATTTTCACTCATTTCTTGACTGCAGGAAAAACGCTAGAGCAGCTCTTCTGTGGCAAAGAATCCAGAAAGACCACGACAGGGCAGAATGGTTTTGACACTATCGGTTCCTACTTGAAATCTCTAGGTTCATCTTGTGACTCACATAGGTGTGTGAACCCCTTGCAGTGCTAATGCTGAGCACCCTGCTTGAGAATCACTGGTGTAGTGGCAAGAAGGACATTTGTAAACATGAATTTTAAAAGGCATGTGTCTAAACCTGGCATTGGCCACAAAAGAAGCAGTGAAACACTGCCACGGGGGAATGCTTGCTGCGGTCACTCATGTTCTGGTACTGGGATGTGAGCTTGGCCGCTCTGAAGTTCAGAACCTGGACTCTGCCTGTCTCCAGAAGACAGTGTCAGTGTCGTCATTGGTGGTGATCCCTCACGGTCGAGGATGATCACTCCCACGGGTCAAGTAAAGGGTTGTAGATGAGTTTGCTGATGGCTAAAGAGGCCAATTCTAGAGCCACAGGCTCTCTGGCAGACACTGTGGGTTGGGGTTCAAGGGAGGGTCAGACCACAGATTTCTCTGTCTTGTTTCTTTTGCTTCCATTTCTGTCATTTTTCTGCCTCCAGAACGAGATGGTTTTCCTCCAAGTAAGATGCACCTTCTGTCACAAGACATCACCATGTAGCCCTGTCCTGGGCTAGTTTTTTTCGATTTGTGGTGTCAATGCCACACTTCTTAATGTTCACCTTGAGGGTGTCCTTGAAACATTTCCTCTGGCCCCCGCACATCCTTTGTCCTTGGCTGAGTTGGGAGTATAGCAGTTATCTTGCTAAACGTGCGTCAGGCCTGTGCATGCATTGCCCTATCCACTGCAGCTGATGTTGAATAATCAGCACTTCCATACTGGTGGTGTTAATGTTGGTGAGGACACAGGCATTTGTGCGACAATCCTCCCATGTTATGCC